TGTTCTTGCCTTGTGATGTAAGGATTTGGTTTGCTCTTTTTTCCCTCTTTCCTTTCCATATTTACTGTTTCTAAAGTAGGTCACATTCGAATATTTTTTGTTATCAGGTATATCTAGAACTATTCAGGTCCTTAACTGCAGCCATATTCATGGGCTCCAGCAGAATGAAAATACCTTCAGTTTGCTTTTCCTGATAAAGCAGGAGGTTTTCTTCAGATTCTGTTACACCATGAGTATTTTATTTTTATTTTATTTATATTTATTTTTGCATTTTTTTTAAATCAAACTCTGTCAGACCACAGTGGCACCTAATAAACCCCTGACATACAATCATAGAATACTACAACTGGAAGGAACCTTGGGAGGCCTCTTGCTGCGGCTCTGCAATAATACTTTCCTTACAGAGCCGCAGCAAGGGTAGATCCCAGGACTGGCGCAAGCCAAGACTGAACCGGGCTGCCTGCCTCCGGCTCTTAGATTAATTTTAATACAGAGCTGCAGCAGGAGATAACTCCCGGGACCTGGCGCAAGCCGGTACTGAGCCAGGCTACTGGCCAACCCTCTAAAAAAATCTACTGGCTGAGCTGCGGGGGAAGGGGACGAGGGATGTGTATAGTTGGTAGCATTAACCAATAAGCTTTCACTTATCAATTCATTGTTTAACCAACTACATCTCTATTGGAGAGGAAGCTTATTTTCACAACTGCATGCTGAACAGACAGGAAGTTTACACTACAAGAGGTAGGAAGGAAGCTATGATTAGAATTTTTCTAAATTTTTTTAACAAACTTTTTCTATTGAAGCCAAACTGTTTTGCAGCAATTGATTGGTTCTGATGAAATTTTTTTCAGGAAAGTTTCTCAGACCCAGATGGAATTTCTGGTCAAAAAACAGATGAGAATGCAAGCAAGCCATATCCCACCATAGCAAGAAGCAGGGTGGCTATGAGGTGAACCTAGGATCAAGTCCCTGTTCCAAGTGGAGCAGAATCTGGGTCTCCAGTCTCCCATTCCTAGCTGCCAGACTGTTGTAGGGTGGAGAGTGAAGCCGGAAAGTTTTTCATAAAGTGAAATAGTTTTCCATCTGGTCCTGGTTGTGATATATTATTCTGCATGCAAAGAAATGTTATTAAGACGTTTAGAAACAGGGATCTGTCCAGGTTATTATATCGCACCACAGTATCTAAGCAAGTGGAATGGAGAGGACAGGATGAGTTGCACATTTTCTGGTGCTTTATCCAGCCTACATTTAAATGCATCCAGCAATGGGGATTTCACTACTTCCCTTAATAACCTACACCAGTCTAATTCATCTCAACATTAGGAAGTTCTTCCTAATTTATGGTCTATGCCAGGGCTACTCAACACACAGTCCATGGGCTGCATGCGGCCCATGGTGCGATTTGGGTTTATGAGGGGCTCAAAATGAGGCCTGCAAGTGGGATCCTTTGAACATGGCCTCCACTGGGAACACGCTCCACAACGGTGAGGCGCCTCCCAGGCAGGATGAGCACGGCCTCCACTGGGAACACGCTCCACAACGGTGAGGTGCCTCCCAGACAGGATGAACACTAAAAAATGCAAGCGGGTGGGCTGGCTGGAACAGATGGGTACAGGGTGTCACCGTTTCTAGCTCCCAGGGAGGAGTGCTGGAAACACCAGGGCATTGTGAGAAGTGCTTTGTATTAGTGCCCATCAATGTGAAAGAAGCTATTTGCATATATTTGCATGTATATGCAGCCTCTATTAAGTTATGGCCCTCAGCATGTGCTTGAGTATCACTGTGGCCCCCGGGGCTTCCAAAGTTGAGTAGCCCTGGTCTATGTTTTCCCTATTTTAACTTATCACACTGGTTTTTTTGCTTAAGTTCAAGAGACATTTTAGTTGTAAAAATCTCCTTTGGTAGATGTTTTGTTCTCTGGAAAAAGCTATGAATTCTGTACTGCAAGGCTTATTGTTTACTTGTAAAATATGACCAGTTGAAGCTGACATTTTAAATGAAAAACACATGTAGCCCTAATTAATTCCAATTTTTAAAAAAAAACAACTACAGTATTTCATTAACATTTTCCCATCCATGTAGCCCTAATTAATTCCAATTTTTTAAAAAAACAACTACAGTATTTCATTAAAATTTTCCCATTATTTGTTGACCTAGTCAGTCAGATCAGGTCAGATTATGTTCTCCCTCCTTTCCCATGAAAATAACATGGTTTATGAGTATGTGTTAGTGAGTAGTAACCATCAGCTCTACTAGAAGCTCATTTCAACCTAAACTGTATTTCTTCCCCTGCTAACATATATATCTCTTGTTTGAGATTTTCAGGCTCTATGAAGTAAGCATTATGGACAAATAATTGTCATTTGGAAATTTCAGTCTAACATTTGAAGTCATACTGATAACTTGCCACTGACTTCCATGAGTCCAAAATTTCACCCCTTGCCTAGACACAAAATCTGTACTACCCAGCAGTATATTCTTATTTGTTATTTCTATTGTGATGGAGGTCAGATACCCCATCAAGAGTGGCATCCCTTGTGCTATTGGTCCTTACTAATGAAGCCTCAAGTCAAATGTGTAATTATGTTTTCAGCCCTTTGTTTCCCTTCCCGATTGAAGGATGGGCCTCTTCCTTCCTCCCTCCTTCCCTCATGCCAGCTTTATCCAACACAGCAACAGTGGTGCCACCTCTGTTTTGTTCTAAAGCTAGTTCTTTTGGCAATAAGAATGGAAACATTTCTCCTTACCTTAGGCAGACTACTAGCTTTTCAGCTGGGATCGTACACAAGAAAAGCGAATGCATTTTCCCCAATCTATTACCAAATCAACACCCTGCTTTAAATTCTGAAGTGAAAGCAAAAGGAGTAGAAGTACAGGTTGTACCTCCCATGATCGGGACTCCCTGGTCTGGCAACATCCGTGGTTTGGCATGGAGCATGGATGTTCCTGGACCATAGAGCCAAGGAAGAGGGAGGTCTAGCAGTGGTGTAGAGTGCCTTAAGGGGCACTGACGACTCAGCCAGGAGCCCCAGTGTGTGGAGTCGGGAGAGGGGAGGACAGATGGCATGACAGGGAGTTCTGACCCCAGCGGAGCTCCCTGGCCAGAGCAGCTGGGAAGCTCTAGCATGGCCATAGCCATGGACCTCTGTCCCAAGCCAGGGAGCTCTGGCCCCAGCCCCGGCTGCAGAGCTCCGGCCCCAGTTGTGTAGCTAGGTGGCTGCAGAGCTCTGCCCCGGCTGCACTGGCTGTGGCACTCTGGCCCCAGCAGTAGTGGGGCTGGGGAGAGCCCTGGTGGGCTGGGGCAGTAGCAGGGGCAGGCAGGAGCCCTAGCCTTGTGGCAGCATGGGCCAGAAGGGAAGGAACCTTCCATGGTCCAGTAAATCCCCTCGTTTGGAACTAGTCAGTTCCCAAGGGTGCCAGACCAGCAAGGTCCAACCTGTAGGGTAATTCAGTTGCTTGACAAATAAACAAACCCAACCAAATTCTCATTTACCCTCTCGAAACTCTTGAGTTGAGAAACGGACTCAGTTTTTTAATCCCAAATTGAAGTTTATTTAGCAAGAGCTGACTGTTTTAAGTATCCTTTATTGGGAGACACATTTTCAAGTAACCACACACACTTTACACAAAGTTAAAAAGAAAATTGCTCCCAGGCTGAACATTTCTTCTCAAGTTTCATGGGCTATAGCAGGGATGGGGAACATTTTTGAGATGGAGGCCACTGACCCACAGAAAAATTAGTTGGGGGCTGCACACAAGTGAGAAAAAATCAAAAAACCCTCAGTGATGTGGGGGTCACTCACTCCCCATATTCCCCTTGCACACTGAAGTCTAGGTGGAGCCAGCCTACTAGATTTTTTGTGATCCAGACTCGGCAGGGGGGTGGGGGTACCAGCACCATCTCCTCAATGCTAGGTGGGGGGCCCTGAGCCTTGGGGGCTGGATCCAGTTTTTAAAAAATGGTCCATGTACTTTACATGCTATTTTAAAATTTGCACTGGGCTGAAGAGTTGCACATAAGAAAGGTTATTAATATCCATATCTCTGAATTACAGGAAAAATTACAAGTTAAAAGGGAAAAAAGTTTAGCCAATGAGCATACAAATGCAAGACGGAAATAAATTGTCAATTCACAGCACAGAGAGCTACCAAAACTGGTTTTTCAGGACATGGGTGGAGAAGATTCTGTTTTGAAAGAAGTTAAGCTTTGAAATTGTCAGTACTACAAAAATCACCTACAAAATCAGAACTCTGATTTTTATGCACCTTGTTTTCCCTTACAAGTATATGAAAGATTAATTTTAAAATAATTCTCTCATACAGAGTACAGAGCGGATTTGTTTTCAGTTAAAAAACTTTTATTGCAACCTCTAGTTTCTACAGCCTTAATGTCCCATAAGTATATGTTTTATTTTATGATGTACTAAAATTAATGTCTTGGATCAAAACAGTCATGTTTTACTATTTTATGCATATTTTGAAATTATGTTAGTATCTTCTAGATACTTTACTGGTGATTTAACCCCTAAAAGGCTAACTACTGATAGGGTTTTCAGCATTCACCATAAGGCAACTTCAGGTAAATGAGACTTTTATTTTATCATGTTTCTTGTGATATTTAAAAAAGAAATGCCACAGAAATTATAAAGATACCACAGAACACAGGAAAAATACCAATAAAACACCTCTAATTGAAAAGGAGATGTGTGTCCAGTTTGTTATTTGAAAAATAAAAAATATAATTAAATAAATTCAGTCAGAGAAGCAAGATAACAAATGATAATGTATAACGTAATGCACACATTTTGGCCAAGATTTCTAAAGGTCTGCGGTGATTTTGAGTTCCCAGCTTGAGACACCATAAAGATGCTTAACTTTCACAGTCATTTCTGAAAAATGAGGCACTTTTAAGCCGCAAAAATTGGGCACTCAAATATCACTGCACATTTGAAAATCTTCCACTTGAAACATACAGTATAGTTTTTAAAAGTAAGGCTTACCTCTATATAATTAATAAGTACTCTGCAGCTGGCCGACTGCAATGATTGATGGTCACCTGGAAACTGAGGGGTAGTTACAGTTTACGGAGAGCAGTATCACACTCCATCTGACTGAAAAGCTCGAGGTTTCTCCTTCAGAGGCTGAGTCACTTATGGAGGAGGTGGGAGGTGTGGAAAAGGGTGTCACCTAGTACAAATACTAATTCCATTAAAAATACCTTTGAGATTGCTGTACTCCAGTACTTGCTGTATTCTTTTCATAAAGCAGGGCTGGGTTTCACAAAGTAAAAATGCTTTAATGGATCCAAAATTAGCACCTTAGGCCATTGATACCTATATAGCACACAAGGTTTAGTTTGGATTCTCCACACAAATAAAAGGTCTGTGGGCAATGGGCCTCTCTCTCAAATAGAGGATTTAATGAATGTAATGCACATATTCACATGCAAGAAATATGCAAGGAAGGACCATCTTTCATCAAGGAAAGGTCTCAGAAATGTTATGTGAGGAATGTAAACTGGAATCTGACACACTAAATACTGGTCTCATTTTTTATGTTAGGAGAAAAAAAACACATACCAAGAAAAACAACTCTCACCAGAATCTGTTGCAAATTCCTGCCATCCGGGTGTATTTGTATTTCCTTTTATTATTGCTGATGTTAATAGGGCAAAGACGAAAGATTGCCTCCATTTTTCCTTGTTGTAATTCATTGCTCTGAAGGTTAAGAAAAGGCTCTCTGAACAAGAGACAAAGGAACACAGGACTCCATAGCTCTGAAATCACCACACCCAAGAACTTGGGCTACAAGTGCATATTAAACCGGTTTAATATTCACCGGTTCTGTAATTTGGGGGCTCTTTTATACTAACAAGACCTGATCCTAACTTCAGAGGAAGCTGACATTGCTCAGTCCCTCACAAGATCAGGCCTGTAGAGGTGTGTGTAGACTACACGGCTTTTTTGAGAACAGTAGCCTTTTTTCGAAAAATCTTCCTCTGCATCTAGACTCACATCGCATTCATTTGAAAGTAAATTGAAAGAACATGGCGGTTTTGTTGACAGCGGTAAACCTCGTTTTACGAGGAAGAATGCCTTTTTCGACAGAGATCTGTCAAAAAAAGGTGTGTGTGGACGCAGGGAGCCTGTTCTTTCGAAAAAAAATGGCCTCCAGGAAGAAGCCCTGGTGGACAGTCCTTCCTTACCATGCTGAGCAGCTCTACTGTTTCTGTCTGCAGCCTCTTAAAGGCATAGGCACCCAGACAGGCATTGCTTTAGGGAAGCCAGCCTCAGGACCCATGCCAGCCATGCTAGCCAGTCCTAGCCTCAAGGCCCCCCTGGCCCTTCTCGGGACAGTGAAGAGGACCTACCCAGGGGCTCCAAAAGGCAGGCACCAGCCTGGTCAGGGCCTGAAATAAAAAACCTCCTGGAACTCTGGTCTCAGGAAGAATCCCTGCAGGCCATGCAGTAGCACCGCAGGAATGTGGACATATATGGGCACATGGCCCAGGGACTGGCCAAGAAAGGGCATCACCCCTGCACCCTGGACCAAGTGAGGCCCAAGGTGAAGAAACTGTGGCAGGGGTATGCAAAGGCCTGAGACCAGAACTCCTGCTTCAAAGCAGCCCCACAGAGCTGCCCATATTATGCGGACCTGGAGCAGATTCTGGATCGTGGGGAAGCCCAGGCCCCGCTGCGTGTTGTGGAGTCTGGGTTACCCCACCATATTGTGGACCAACCCCTGAGGGAGGACTATCAGGAAGGAGGGACAGGAGAGCTGCACCAGAAGGAGGAGGATGAGGAAGAGACAGCAGAGACCCTATCCCTGGAGCCAGTCCTCCAAACCCCAGAGGCCTCCCAGGCGTCCTCGGACATGGCGGACGGAACATCAGGTGAGTGCTTTGAGGGGTTATCACACACAGCGGCTTGGCAGTGCAGGGGAACATCTTGTCCCATTGCCACTGTGGGGAACCTGTGATGCTCAGGCTGATGCCCAACTCACACACGACGGGATCACGTGTAAAACCTCTGAGAATCTCCTGTCTGAAGGAGGGCCCCTTACAGCAACAGCATGCCCTCGGGGACAGCTGATGCACACATACATGATTGTGTCCTCCTCTTTTCCTCCACAGCCAGACCCCTCACCCAAGAGGGTAGCACCACACCTGCCCCACCACCATCCCAGACACATGGCACCTGAAGGCACTGGTGTGTCTACACGGCAGGGGTGGACATAGGGCAGGGCGAACGGGCGGTCCTGCAGGACCTCAACAGGACTCTTCAACAGAGGACAGAGGCCGAATGACGCAACAGGATGCTGGATGAGCTGGTCCAGCAGCGCAGTTCAATCTGTGCCACTGTGTGGGAGGTCCTAGCCTTGCCTGGCCCTGTCACGGGCACCGCTCCTCCTGCACGTCAGGACCCTGTCTCCCCCAACACCCCCTTCTTCCCCAGCACCTCCTGCTCCCCAGCCCCCCTTTCTGCCCCAGACCCTCCTGATCCCGAGCTCTCACAGGCCCAACAGCTGCCCCCCCCCCTCCTGCCCAGGCCAGGACTAGCTCTTGCTCCACCCAACCCCAGTGCCATGGTGGTGCCAGAATGCAAGGTGGCAGGACCCTGCGATCAGGGAAGCAGCGGCCCCCTCCTGAGCCCCCCTCTCCCCTCCAGGTCCCCTACTACCCCAGTGAGAAAGACCATTTCAGTGATGTAACAAAATCTTTATTTTGGAGTGAAAGATCTAGCTTGTATATAAACAGAAGAACAGTAAAAAAAGAGAATGTTTTGTTTTAAACAGAACATTTTCCTTACAGATATTGTTTCTAATAAACACCCGGTTTTCTTTGTAAACAGATATTGGTTTTTTATATATTTTTTATGGGAAGAGAGTGAGAGTGAGGGTTGAGGAGGGAAAGGTAGGGGTGAGCCAAGCCAAATCTCCCATGGGAGAGGCCCTGGGGAGAGTCAGTGGGCTCCTTCAGAGAATCTTTCCCTCAGGGCCTCTCGGATGCGAACACCAGACTGGTGAGCCTGGCGGATGGTAGCTGTCCAGGACTGCTTGAATTGTCCCCTCTCGCCATTAGCACCTGTCCCCTACCCCGCCAGGAAGGCCTCCCCTTTCCTCTCCATAAGCTTATGGAGCACACAACATGCGGCCACCACCTCGAGGATGTTGCATTCGCCCATGTCCAGCCGTGTGAGGAGGCAACAAAACCTCCCTTTCAAGTGGCCGAATGCGCATTCAATCTTTGCTCACATCCAGGTGGCTGGTATAGGGCTTCATGAGCCACGGCATCAGCGGGTAGGCTGCGTTGGCCACTATGCACACCGGCATCTGCACATCCCCAAGTGTGAGGTCCCAATGTGGGAAAAATGTCCCTGCCTGCAACCTGTGATACAGGTACGAATTGCGGAAGATGTGGGCATCATGTGCCCACCCCGACCACCCGACACATGTCCATAAACTGTCCCTGGTGGTCAACCGGGGCCTGCAGCACCATGGAATAGTAGGCCCTGCGATTAATAAATTGGGCTGCTTGATAGGGCAGTACGCGGATTGGGATGTGTGTCCCATTGAGGGCTCCTCCACAGTTCGGGAAGCTAAGCCCAGCAAAGCTAGCAATGATGGTGTCCAGGTTTCCCAGATGGACAAGCCTGTTCAGCAGCTCCTCATTGATGGCCCTCACCACCTGCAGAAAGACACAAATGGACAGACAGAAACTAGGGAGTAAGACAGGTTACCTAAGACTTTGGGAGGAGAACCCCCCCTCCCCCCCC